GATTAAACGTTCGTGCGCGAGACCGATAGGTCCTGAGTTCGAATCTTGTGAGGCGAGGTCGTGGATGCGCATTGTTCAGGAGTCCCATGCTAGGATGAAACGGCCGTCCAGTGCCTCCACGTTTTCCGTGGTGGTCTAGCTTCAATTGACTCATGATTTCAACTACAGGAGTATTTACTGTATGGTTCTCAGATTTTACTAAGATGTTCTATAATTTTGTATTCAAATGCATTTGATTATCTCCACTTGTGTTCTGATTCACTACAAAATCAGTAATCTAATTATTTAAAATAATGTCTATTAAAAAGAATTAATTTTGTACACTTGATGTATTGTAATACTCAAATCAATAGGTTACTTATTATAGAAAGAACTAATGATCAGCTGACTGATTATTCTTTGTGAATCATTTAACCAATGTACAATGTCCATAATGTAAACATAATTAGTAATTATTTCAAGTATAGATAATTATGGTGGGACTATTGTCAAAGGTTAGTTATTAGCTAATCAGATTAATTCCTGGATAAGTTTCAATTTACAGAAATACTAAAAATAAAATATCTATGCATTATGATAAATACTTGACTATTAAACTAGTGAATAGCAAAAGGTGACATATCTCTCTTAGAGAACTGGTATAGTAATTAGTTCTAACCATCTTGCTATAATGATGTGACTGCTAAGTCCTGTATAATGATTAACTAAACTTTCTTATATCCTAATTGACCAACCGTCAAAATTTTTTATCAATTTTTACATGTTCCCTATGAGATTCTACTATCTCAAAAATAGTCATGTCCTTGTAAATGCCCTTACTTTCTGTATACTATATAACCTTCAACTATAGAATGATTCGAATTACAGTATCCTTTCATTCTTCTTAAGCCAGTGGATTCTGACTCAGTGGTTTTAATTACTAAGTATCCCCCAAGAGACTTGGAAGTCTTATGTTCAGTTCCCGATGAGGATTTCTACACTAGGATCAAACAACTGTTTAGTGATTCCTGTTATTCAGATGTACCTCAATTAAATCTAGTCTGTGACAAATACAACCTACAAAGGGAATAAATTTCCATGGAAACTTTTCAACTATGCTTGGATATCAGAAGAGGATTGTGGAGATTAAGCTTTTGATTAAGATCACGAAACGACTGATGTTAGACCATTATTATAAGCCTGGAGGCACTGAACAGCCGTTTCCTCCTATTGTGGGACTCCTCAGGAGTGCGCACCAGGCATCAGAACCCAGGACCTTCAGTATCACACGCGAACGCTTTACCTCTACACCACTGGTCCGGCATCGATTGGTGTTAATGTCTAACGTCCACCAATCCACGAGATTGCGCGACCATCTTCCATTGTACTGAGGTAGATACCTGTCTCTACCCGACACGGATTAGCTCTAATGTTCACGGCTTCTCACTAGAACTCCGAGAATTCCCTCACTGGATGGCCACGGAAGGGATCGTGGATGCGCACTACTGAGGAGTCCCAATGTAGGACAAAATGGCCGTGCAATGCTTCCAGGTTTTTAATGGTGGTCTAACAACAATCGGTTCGTGATCTCAATCAATATACTGGGATACGTTATTATATGTAAAAATTATATTTGAAATAATCTCGGCAATTGAATTTTAAAATAATTCCAACGTTTCGTCCGGTTAACTTGTCTGGACTTCCTCAGGGTAATAATCGTAATTAAAATCATCAAAGGAATATATATCGTTTTAACAATCAAATCTATACTGCGCTAATCCAACCATATTTGAATGTTGATTTTTAGTAAATGGGATAACATGAGTTAGTTAAATGAGAATCATGTGAAAAGTTCACGACGTGAAAATAAATGACTGAACGAATTGTCTGTGTGTGTGTATGTATGTGTAAGATTGAGTTATTAATGTTTGATATTCGGTGTTAATATGTTTTTATCTGAAGGAATAAATAAAATAAAAGTGCAAGTTGAAGGTTGAAAATTGTTACCGAATCATGTGCATATAAAATGAGAATCATCAAGTACATAATTGTGTATTGCTAAAACTTACATTAATTCCAGTCAAAATAATGATGCATGTGAAATAAACAGGTTGAATAAAGAAAGGGTTCAATTACTAGTCAACGAATATTTGCCAAGTACTCGCTAGTTGATTACCATCCTTTCGGTTCAGGCTGTTCTTGTTCGCCCATACATACAACGCTCCTGCTGTCAATCTTTCTTTATGAGTGTTAAAGCCTTTCTGAAGTATCTTAGTCCCTTCAAAATTAATCTTGTGTCCTGCTTCTAACGCATATAACGCGATCGCAGACTTATTCTCAAGTTTCTTTAAGTCAACCGAGGATTTGGGAACATTTTTCAAACACTGTTTGTGTTCCTTCAACCTTACATTCAATTGTGTGGATGTTTCTCCCACATAAGCTGCATTACAGTCATGACAGACGATCTCATAGATAATATTTCGTTTTTCTTCATTTGGGAACCTATCTTTAACTTCAACTAATGCTGATCTTATGGTGTCACATGCCCGAAAATACACTCTTACATCATCCTTGTTTAGAATCCGCTTGATTTCTTCCGATGTTTCACTACTGTATAGGATGACCACTGTGGACTTCTAATCTTTCAGTATACATTCTAGTTTAATTTTTCATTCATTTCTAACAATCTTCTTTAAAAACTCTTTTGGGTAGTTGTTATCCCTAATTGTAGACAATACTCTATTCCATTCAACTTGTCGGTCTTCCTTATCTGTTACTAGCCTAATACTTCTATTCATTAAGTTTTTTACAACATTGACTTTCGTACACTGCGCATGAGCCGAACCATAATCTAAGTATCTCTCAGAATGTGTTGATTTCCTGAATACATTTATTTTCAACTTATGATTGTCTTCGTTCAACCAAACAATCGCGAAACGCTAGTTTGTGGTCAACGGATTCAACTTCCTTCGTTAGCTTAATGCTTTCCGAAATGATGTTTACATTTTCAAACAATTCTTCTAAGCCATCCCGTTTAATGATAATAAGAATGTCATCTACATACCATAACCAGACCTTTGGTGGGCATACACATCTTGTGATTGCACTGGTTTCTAGGGAATGCATAAATAAATTCGCTACAATCGGAGAAACTGGTGAACCCATTGCTATACCTTCTTTCTGTCTGTAAAGGTCTCCTCGAAATGTAAATAAGGTGGATCTTAAGCATAATTCCAAACATTTAATAACTTCAGATGGATCTAATAGGCATCGTAAATTCATATCTGAGTCAGATTCTGAACAATCATAAATAATATCCAACTCTCTATTGACAGGTAAATTAGTGAATAAGGAAGATACATCAAAACTTGCCAATATTTCATCGTCTTCTACATAGATGGCATCGATAATATTCTTGAATTCTATAGAGTTTTTAATTTCATGATTAATCAGTTTGTCATACGGTTTAAGTATCTTAGCTAAGTATTTCGCTAGATTGTACGTCTGTGAATTTGTAAAATCAACCACTGGTCTTAGTGGAGTATTATTCTTGTGAATCTTTGGAAGTCTATAGAATCTACGAGGGTTACAACTCTTTGGATATAACATGAACCATAATGATGATCCTAGTTTAACCTATAACGACTGCAAGATTTTACTGGTTTCAGCTTTAAGTTTAGTAAGCGTCGTCCTACTTTTCGTTTCTTTAATTAGTTTATACGAACCCTCTTGTAGATGTTCCCTGGCTTTTTCCTCGTAGTCCGATTTGTTCATAATAACTGTCGTGTTCCCTTTATCTGCTCTCGTAATGATAATTGTCTTATCATTTCTCAGATGTTTTAATGCATATAATTCATTTTTAGTTATATTAGAATTATGTGGTTTCTGATATAATAACGTAGCCATTATTATATTGGGATATACTTAACCTCAGACTGATATTAATTAGAATTAGGAAGTAGTCGAATAGTTGTTTAGACCTAGTTTAGGAATCTTCACTAACCGGCACCTATAAACCTACATATGGGATTGAATACGGGGCATTTATATTTGATGGTAATCACATTATTTATAGACTATTGAGTTGAGATTCAGTGTTTAAATTTCCATCACTTGAGATTTCGTTAAATACTATGATATTCATCAATCATAATCGATGGTACCTTGTTTACTTCTAACCTCACTTAACCCCAGCTGCTACAATTTCTTAATGGCATTTTGGAAATCCATTTCCAAGCCACTGGTTTGCAGAGATTAGGGTAGTATGAAGACATTTTTCATTCATAATCGACATTAACCAGATAGTTATAAAAAAATAAAGGGATCTTAGCTTGGGACAACCATATGACTGGATGATTATGGAGTAATATCACGAATAAATTAATTTGAGGGTTTACTTTATGAAATGACAATTAAATATTTTAAAGAACATATTTTCCCCAAGATCTTGAGGTAATGTGTGTGTGTATGTGCACTAGTGAATAGTGGTTCGGAACTTTGGACAAATTAGATATCCAGTGTTACATAATTTTCAATGGTTTAAGTCAAAACTGTTTTCAGATTTCAACAGTTGAGATCATGTGTCAATTGAAGCTAGACCACCATGGAAAACCTGGGAGCACTGAACGGCCGTTTCGTCCTATTGTGCGCACCCACGACCCCGCCCCGCAGGATTGGAATTCAGGACCTACCAGTCTCGCGCCAGACGCTTAACCAACTAGACCGCTGAGCCGGCATCCAATGGTGTTAATGTCTAACTTCAACTAATCCACGAAATTGAACGACACATCCAACTACTGTCATCAGTGAGTTACTACCTCACAACTGACCCGGTTGAACTCCACTGGTCACTGCTTCTCACTAGAACTCGAGGATATATCTCTTGAAGCCAGTCACTAGTGAGCATATGTTGATTAGTATCAGATTGTTTATTGTCCTACTTTGAGTTACTTCAATATACAATGATTTTATAGCTCTTTGTATAAATGTTTCTTTTTGGTTTTCAATATTCTATTATACAGACTATGTCCAGAATTGTTCTCCTTCTAGCGCATACACGTAAACAATTAAATCATAATGATATAAAATGTAAACAAGAAAATCAATATAATTTGTCAAATAATTTTCAACAATCATCCAATCCTTTATGGTTAGAAGAAGATAAACTATTGGATTCATCCAATTTTAATGATAATTTTCAAGCTGTAAATGATCTAAATGAATTGAAATCTCATATCAATCATTCAATACTGGATGTTTCCAATATTGACAGAAAACAAATAAGGTATTCATGAAATTTGTTTCATGTATGTATTTGTTTAATTTTGTTCAATAATTACAAGAACTAAACAGTAACACATCAGATTATCAATGAAACTCATGAGAACAACCTATAAAATTCATGAGATATTGAAGTCTGATTATACAAATATAGCATAGACTATTAGTCTCAGTTTTATGCATGAATTCTATGAGAACGATTGAAGGTCAGGATCACCATATACTTCCTGTGTTGACGAGAATATAAACGTGTCGCGTCTCTTTTGTCTTCCGATTGCCTATTTTCTGTCTAGTTGATTGATGATAAACAAAATTCTAAGAAACCATATAGGTACTTAACTCTAGTAAAGGACTTAAAGAGACAATAGAACATGGTACGACAAAACCGTTGAAGACTTAGATTCGTAAGGACTACCACGGATATTTCATGTGATAGAGAAAGAAGTATGATAAGTGTGTTGCCACAAGCAGAGAGCATTTTGAAGGCAAAAAGGACTGATGTTCCGTAGAATTTGTAAAATGAAGTCTTTATGACCTTCGATCACATACTCATTGGGGATAGAGATATGTGAATTTTGCAAGGTTGTCAATTATTTGTCTTGTTAAGAATCACTTTGTATTGGAGAAGACACTTGCTAACAAGTAATATGAATATATGTCTGAGAAATTTGATTAAAAGGATTGTTGGAATCCTTTTTAAATAAATAAACTTTTAAACAACGAAATATGCCGGAGGTTTTGAATAATCGATAACAGTAGTCAAGAAGCCCTAAGCTTTTTGATAGTTAGCACTCCTCATCAAGACTTATCAACAATCTTGACGGAATTGACACATCTCATTCGATTTGAACTCACATCATTCACTGCAATCGACAGACTCGTTACAAATGAACTGGTTGTACCATATTCCAACGTACTCTGGAAATTATTCACTGTTGGGGATTAACTATGAGACTAGTCACTACTTAACGGCAGATTAATGTATATAGATTATCAGACCACGTAAACTATAGCTGCAAATCATTCTTAATAATATGAAGACTTTTCAGCGTCAAAGTAATCCATATATCAGACAAACAGTTGGACTTCCCTTTATCAGGATTAATTAGCTTCATATCCCAAAGATGATTACATTTTTTCAGATTTTCTGAAACTGAAATCGACATTTCATAATCACAGAAGACTATTTACAGATGATTCATACGATATATTATTAGGGTTTCGATTACCTCAAGTGTCTACATATTTCAAAATAGTTTGGTTAGTAAACTGTATGATACCTGTGCAAAAAATCAAAATCCTTGACCATTGATTCTTGTTCAATTGAAGTATGAATTAAATAAGCTACTTTTCATCAGCTTTACACACATCTACAAGTCTATAACCTTTTGGGATGATTAATAAATGATTAACGTAGTAGATTATTGGTAAGTCATAATATGGCTGCTTTATGACAGAATATGCGGATTGTGAAGATTCAGGCTATTTAGTTCATCATATATGTGGTACATCAGCTGAATGTGCATTCATTTCAGTGTTGAAGTTCATATGATGTCTCATTACTAGCTTAAGTGTATCTATTAACATTATATATTTTTGTCTGACATTGAATACAAATAAACATAAAGGACAATAGAACTTGTATTAGTCTAATAATTGTCCAATAACTTCTCTTACGATTGAACTTTAACAGATCTGAACATTAAAACCATTAAGTTCAGTACACTAATTCATTAACTTCCCATTTTTAATTCTATGCCAATATGTTATTATTTGATCTATTCTATTTTCATAGATATTTTCTGTTTCAGTTTGAAAGTTATTCACATCAAGAAATGATATTATCTAGGAAACTATTGAAAACGAAACATTTCTGAATATTCACTTTATACCTGTTTAAAATCACTAATTAGCAGTACATATCCAAGATGCCATCAGGGATAAGACATAAAATCTTTAGGTCTCAGAGTTTTAATGTGAATTTTGACCAGTAAAGTTCAACCATAGAAGACGTGAGATAAATAATACTGATGTAAATTAATAAAGGTAACTCAATGGCTTGAATTGATTGAGGTTGTAAATGGTAACTACTGGGTGGTAACTCGGGAGTCCAAAAGTTACAAGAGCAGAGCAAAGCCTATAAGTCTCGGATATCTCATACTAAGATGAAACAGCTATCTTATATTTCCTGTTTCTTAATAGATTACCGGACTTCTGTGTTGCATCTTTCGGTTTGCGCAAAACAGAACAAACTGGTTACGTTGGCTTATGAGTGAGATTGATCCCATATGGTTTCAAAACTTATTATAATTTCTGAAGTATTTATCATAACTGATAGGAAGATTTGTCTTCTTTATTTCAAAGGGGGAATTTCAGGGTGTGAAATCAATTTTTCAGATACCTTTTGATGAAATTACTTCTGTAATCATACAAAATATTACAAGAAAACCACTTACACTGACTTATCAATAAGCAATGACCAACGTCATATGGGCCTAGTTACCTAAATCCTAATTGAATTCTAGCAATCAAGTTAGAATGTGGTCACTAATTTAAGTGACTTGATATCTCACGTAATATGTACTGATATGAGGTAGTTAAAGGCAGTCAGCAAGGAACCCTGTATGTCTCGGACTGTTAAACTGAACGATACAGGTCTAAATCAACCTAGGTACATCATTTTCCTCAAGATTTTAGATATATATCACTGATGAATGCCAATGAACACGAAATCTATGTATAAGATTTCCTGTCAAACATTTCTGAACACTTAACAGCATACCACTTATATATCTGTTGAAAAATGATGTAATAAGAGAACTTTCCTCCTTATTCGTTTTACGAATAATAAATTTTACTTTTAGTGTATTGTCAACAGTTTTTTTAAAAATATACAATTAGCGGTCATTTCAAAATGTTATATTTACATTTTAGAATCTCAGAGACTTTCTACCCAGTTAATGTAAATGGACTTCTTATTTGGAATTTGCATATTAACAATAAATCAAATGAAATTATTATATGTAAGTAATATATCATTAAATATTTAGTATAACCTTATAGCTTAGTACTAGTAGTAGTGTGGTCTGTGCTACTTATGTCGACAGATATAAGTAGTATATAACAATCAGAAATAAAAGGCTTGGCAACAGAAGGTTGGGAAGATCGAATCTAAATGAACGGGAACAGTGAGTAATTGTTATGGCAATGAAAGAACAACGAAGTTTGAGAGAATGAATGCAAGAATTTCAAATGAAGTAGTGGTTTTCACATTTTATTAAAGAACTCTGTAATTTTGTATTAGACTATTTTGGTTGTCCCTATCTGTGTTCTTGTTCATTACAATCGTAGTAATGAAATATACATTTCAGTTTTGTAAAAAATCTTAAACAGTTTCAATATAACTTTTATTATTGTTCATAAGAGAATGTCTTTTGTTTAAAGTAACTTTTGTTTTACTTTGTTTTCACAGGTCCTGAAACATATCAGATATGGTTGAATAACCAAAAGATTAAAAATATCAAAGTTAGTTTGTTTCATTAAACTTTAAAATAGAATAGAATAAAATAACATGGGAAAGTAGAGTATATTTTGATATAAGATATATGAAGACAAATAAAATTACATTCCCTCCAAGTCTAGATTTGTATTTCTAGGAATTTCTTTCAAAACATATCAGAAACCTTAATGAAAACCACTTTCCTCTGTTGTAAATATTCAGTTTGTTCAAAAAACTTCAAATAAATAACTTGCCATTAAAAAATCAGATGAACTACAGACATGAATTAAGTGATGAATAGTCCTAGAAGTAGAAGACTAAACCCAAATCATAATGAGAATATAGGGTTAGAGTATAACTGATTTGGTAGATAATATGTTTGATAAGCCTTCAATTTTCTCTGATAGTCAATTCATTAAATCAATAAATTCTGTGCTGGATAAGTGACTTTCAATAACCTATTACTTCCTTTCTACGAATAGGTATAAATCACTCGAATTAATACTAAGTAATATGTACTAATCAAAGTAGTCATATTAGCAAACCAGAGGTATTGGGCTCTACATAATTTTCTAATATTTTCTCTAGAAAAAAGTATGACTACACACAGTATATTCAAATGATGTAATTTGGTTAAGATGTGATACAATGTAATTATTACAAATACTCTTAAATAATTGAGATTAACTTCGACTAGTAATGGTATAAGTCGGAGGGTTATTAAAAATAAACTTAACGTAAACAGTTAAACTGATTTACTCCATAAGACTCCTGAATATTATCTATCCAATACGTTCAGGTATAATGGTTAGAGTAATCAATTCAGGATACAATGATTTCTATTCCATAACTCCAAACCATTGTAATGTATGAAGTCAACCAAATCATAAAGTTTATACTGATAATTTTGTTCAAAAGTACAAGAAAAGTTCTATAATTGAACCATTCCGATCAAAGAATGAAATTCCATCAATTTTAATAAAACAGTAACTGATATCTGAATTCGAAATATATATGAACCATTAACTTCTAACTGAACAACTTAACAATGTTCTATTGACCATGAAACTTGGATGTCTTTGGTTTGATCACAGGGTGAGTTCGTAAATATCTAGTAGTAGCGTATCATAACAACGAAAACAATAGTAATTCACCAATCTCTGTTTTTTCAAATACTCTTTATCTAATATCAATCGATAAAGTGACTTAACTCCAAAGTAATTGGAAAATCTTCAAAATATCATATTAGCAATGAATTCCCACTCGTTTATAAGGTTATAACATGTGGATATCATAAAGTTTAATACATTCAACTTAATTATTAGTTTGTTTTCTATATTTACATGTAATCAAGTTAGTCCAATACTTAATATAGATTCAAATTGATTATCCTTTTGTGAAATAATCTGTTAACTGTAATCAAACACATTATATATATGGTATTTACCCTTCATTTCATTCCCTTTTTCTCTACTGTTTCATTTCCCTCATTTCATTCATATAGGTATATTTAGATTGTCATAGACAATCACAACATGGAACATTATTACTTCAATTTGAAATGAACCTTTCAAATGATTCAACTAATAATCAGCATTCATTTCAACAAATTATAAAATGTTTTAATTATCAATTTATCATTTCTGCATTTTATTCATCTGAATGTTCTGTGACACTAGAAGATAAAGAACTTATTTTAGATCTATTACAATTGAAACATATGAAATCATTTATGAATATGTCAATGACCAATTGGACAATTCGTTATATTTATCACATTTAAATTATTACCATATTCGAAAACCAGTATGTATAATTTAGGTTTATTAATAGTATAACTAATGAATTAATAAATAAAAATAATTCTATTGAGGAACATTTTGTTGTTTAATCTTTTACTACTTATAAGTAGGTAAATTTTAAGAGTTCAGAAAGGGTTTTTTTGAGATTGTAGTCATTTCAAAAGTTGAGATAAAAAGTCAATTGAAGCTAGAATACCATGGAAAACCTGAAAGCGGTAGACGGCCATTTCGTCCTATAACGGAACTCCTCAGCAGTGGGCATCGACGATCCCGCCTCACGAGGTTCGAACTCAGGGCTTTCAGTTTCGCGCACGAACGTTTAACCTCCAAACCACTGAGTCGGCATCCGATGGTGTTAATGTCTACCTTCGACTAATCCACAAAATTGGGCGGTACATCCACCATTGTCATCAGTGAGTTAATATCTTACAACTGACACGGTTGAACTTCAGTGGTCACTACTTCTCACTAGAACTCCAGGACAAATATTGTATTCAGGTCTTTGAAAATACGGTATGATTTCAGTATTAATTGGTTACTAGATGCTAATCTTTATCATCGAGTTACATCATCTAAAAAAAAATGTTAAAAACCAATGATCATCCGGTATTATGGCTCATTTTGAAACTTTCTAACTATACATATCTTCAACTGTAAAGAAGATCAAATTTGGAAGTATTTAAGCTTCTCAGTCTTAACTAAATGTTTGGAATACATCATAACATTAAACTTGTCTATATTTAACTAATTCAACCAATTAGTGGTGGAGAAAAACTATCATCTATTATCATTTGTAGGAATATGTGGTAATTTTAATAAATTACGAATATTTTGTACATGATTGACCTCTCTATTCTTATTTCAATACATTACATTAATGTGAGTCATTTCCTGTCATTTCCTTCCATACAACGAGGAATTGAAATTTATTGAATAGATGCAAATGAGATATGTCATTGAAAGTTGTACAGTTGTTTGAAGAAGAAAAAACAATAGAAGTAATGATATAAACAAATAAATAAATAATCACACTAATTAAATTCATTTTGTATTGTTCGTTGAAGAGAACGGTATTGTGTACGAGTCCCAGAGTGAACATCAGGTCTAGGATGCCATTACATCCAGCTGATGCGTCCCAAATAAAACGAGATGCGCATCCTGGGTTCCAACGCTGGTCACCATTCATCTCTGCTTATAATGGTTGTGACCTAGGGCAATATTGAAGCAATCAGCACAAGATGCACATATGCCAATAAGAGACAGATCAATTGCAGTTCTAAACATCAATGGAAAGTTTCAAACGAACAATACAAAATGAATTTAATTAGTGTGGTTATTTAGTTATTTGTTTATATTATTACTTCTATTGTTTTTTCTTCTTCAAATAACTGTACAACTTTCAATGACACATCCCAGTTGCATCTATTCAATAAATTTCAATTCCTCAGTGTATAAAATCTATCATAAGTTGCCTGGACAACATCAGTAAAAAAAAGTTCAACTCAGAAAAAATACTAATGTTTATTTTATACCATTTGGGCGCACAAAAGTAGAATTGTTTACACACCTGAGGAATATAAAACTTTTGGTATTGATAGTAATAGTAATAATAATAATAGTGTTTTGCATTTTTACATAATTACCAATCCATCTGGCTGTTACTGATCATGGATTCAATAGAGATGGTGATGGTGATAATGATTCTGCATTTTCATATACGCCACATTTTGTTACCATGATTAAAGAACAATAATAATAATAATAATAATAATAATAATAATAATAATAAAAAGAAACCAAACGTTACCCTGTAGTTAATATCGGCTATTTAATTACTTTAAGCTAATTAGAGACTGAAATAAGAATAAAAAATAAATTGACTTCACAATATGTTATTTCATTTGATATGTTTAGTTACGAACAAATATGTAGCGGGCACGAATGTGTGTATGTAGGACTGTAAAAAAGAAATTACATGCAAGATAAAATTGTCTTCTTATGGAAACACCTGTTTCAAAACATCAACTTTATTATTATCATTACTAGTAGTAGTAGTAGTAGTAATAGTAGTAGCAGGAGGAGGAGAAGTAGTAGTAGTAGTAGTAGTCGTAGTGGTAGGAGGAGGAGGAGGAAGAGGAGGGGGAGGGGAGGGGCGTAGTAGTATTAGTCGTAATATGTGTAACAGTTTGTAACAAGGTTACTCTGACTATAACCGGCTATCATCATTACCTTTCATGTTAATCATAGTAGGAAATCGTCGAGAATAAAGGAAGTTTTATTTTAGTAAATATTAATAAGAATATATATATATATGTAACACTTTTGTTTATTATAGATCCATGTCTGAAGATTATTAAAACTATAGCAACCCTAACAAAATCCATAATAATAATTCAGCATTGCGAACGAATTATTTAGTTCCCTAATTAATATGAGGAATAAAACAAGTTGATTTTAATAGTCCAAAAAAAAAAAAAAACAATGAAAGTAATGGCTACAAAATGAAGTCATTAAAGAAACTGAACAAATCTTTTTTTGTGTTGGTAAATAGTTTGTAAAACTATTTCTATCAATGGAAATCATGGAAATAAAATAAGATGTTAAGCAATTATTTGTATACGTCTATATGAATGCATACATAGATACGTGCATAAATACGTATTAGTAATGTAGAGGAAATGAATAGAATAAAGAATAATGAATAAATAAAAGGTGTAGGTTATATTCATAAGAGATCTTTGTTCTCAATGAAGGTACCAATGGAGGTCAGGTAGCATTAGTATGTGTTTTGTCTTTGTATATAAGTCTTAAGTAGTTTGGATTCATGAATTTATCTGAGATCAAACTTAAGACTTCTGAATTAGTATACAATCGTTTGAAATTTAAATTTTAGTCGATTATCGATATTACGTAACTATCGAGCAAATAGTTCATTCTTGTCATGGTTGAGCTCCACAAACCGTGGATTTTCACTAGAACTGTGAAAATTTAACTCAAAGTTAGTCACTAATCAGAATACAAATAATGCTTGACTGGGAATAGTTTTTAAAATTAGTTTATGTTAATGATCATCATTGCTGTCCAATATACCATGGTTCTCGGTTGTTCTTTGGTTAATCCTTCTTATTTAACATAAGAAATTATTGAACAAATTTTTTTGATGCAACCTGTATTATTGTATAGTTTATATTAGTAGACAGTGACTATCAGTCAAGTTCAAAATGCTTTTTTTTTAAGGGACAGATTTTGAAACACCGGTTCATTATTGTTATCGTTACGTTCCACTAAGATTCAAAATTTACACGCTAATTGTTTTTAATCCTGGAACGTTATTTACTGAACTGCTGAATGACACTAACCTTTCATCTATCGTTGTATATTATTCAGATGTAGTTCTATTCTTGCGGCGACTGTTGACTGACTTCAGATATTCATTAGGTTAGATTGTAATTACGATTTTTGAAATCTCATGAATACTGAATAAATATCATAGTGGTTTTGAATACTACTAACAACTAATTAAGTAGAGAAAAATGTTATTTAATCTTTCAAGAGGTCACTCAAAGACTGAATAAAATGTTGAGCATATTCGATTTCGTGAAAAAAGAAAAACAGATCTCTCGAATTGTTGACCTCATCTTGTTCACATGCACACATAATCAAATAATTAAAAATCATGGTTTATTTTCAATGGCTTTGGATAATCTCACATGAATCAAAGTATATTGCTCATATAAAATGTTCTTCTTAGTAGTTAAATTTAAAATATAATTATTAAACATCAGCCATCATCACAGATTAGAGTATTAGTTCGCTTCTAGTCTGAAGGTATTTTCGGTACTGGAATGGGCTTGGTCAGCAGTGTGTGTGTGTGAAGAAAAAGAGCAAAAGTGAACAGATGAGTTAGTAAACACATCAAACGCACTTCCTTTTACCAATAGAACTAGTCAATAACAATCAGTAGTAGCATGGGACTAGGACGATTCAACTGTCGCAACTAGAAGTGTTAGCATGAAATTTCAGATCTGTAACAGTTAAGCAATATGATATTTGTTACTAACTGCTGAATCAAACAATAGAACTCATACAGTTAATATCAATAGACTATTATTTTTATCTAATAGCAATTTGAATAATAACAATGTAAAATTCAGTATTGCATCATCGAACTCAGAATATTAATGATTAAAACAAATTATGGTGTCAAATATGAGATCATTGAGAAATAATCATGTTCATAAATGTTCTCTATAAGGTTATTATAGTTATTATTCAATGTATTGTATGTGTATGTGTGCATGTTATGTGTGTAAGTATGTCAACTTCATGTGTGAACATGTGAGTCACATATGACAATGATTAAAAATAATGTCATATCGATTTCGTCCATTCACTCATCCATCCATTCACTTATTCTAACACGTTTTCACACCTTTTCTCTGAGCCCTAGTGACTAGATGAGGATAGATTCAATCGTAATTAATATCTCAAATTAAAACTCATAAATTAATCTCTTTTCGTCATACTAGTACTAGTTTTTATAATCCATTGTAAAACTGTCCTGTTAATTAACTTACTATATTTATTAATGAAAACTATGAAATTAAGAGAATTGTCTATTATCTACTTGACAGTCAACAAAAAACCTACATTTAATATAATCTGAATTTGTATGTAATATTCATCCAATAATTACGTCAGCTGGGTATTATTGTCTGTCTGAGAGAGAGACTGATAGATTATCGAACTTTGGAGAGGTATCTGAGAGCAGACGTACACCATTCATCAAAATACCTGATAGGAGCCCACATTACCGGTGAACAGAAAACTACAGGCGTATAAATGTATGTTCACTTGGTATGAAAAGATATTAAACAAACTTGTCGCTATATGTTGATTCAGTGAAGATCCTTAAATCTTCAGTAGTATATCAGTGCAAGTTGATATATTTCTTAAGAGGACAATAAAAGTATTACAAACTTTAAAAAATCGTTTAGATGATTTAGTGGGAATTTCGTAGAAACATGAGTAGATTTTCCTCAACAGATTACTACTAATTAAAGTATTACTAAAA